GAGGGCTGCGAGAGCCTCATGCAGTACGGTGAGTGCCGCCGCCGGGGGCTTTCCGGGCGTGAGCTCCGGCAGCGGCCGTGGGGGCCACCGGCGGGCTCAAAACCGAAAGAAAACGGCCCTCCGCCAACCGCGCTGTGCCTGAGCAGCCAGGGTCACCTGCGCAGGTTCAGCTCGGTAACCAGAGTCTGCCTCTGTCTGTCTCGCAAACCTACCGGAATGCCTTTCCCCCTCCCCTTCCTCCCCTGGTGGTTCTCATGATTAAAATGCACTCAGAACGCGAGTGGCTTCGTTTAACTCGGTGTGGTGAAAGCACCCCACCCCGCCCAGGAAGAAAGCCTTCCGGGCCAGGTTGGGGCAGACAGGGTCCAGCCTGAGCCTGCGGTGTTGCGCCCGTCGGTGCCACTCTGGCTCTAGGAATGGCTTTGTGGCCTTGCGTGTGGAAAATCTATGTCTTTGAATCTGGTGTGAAGTCTAAAAAGCAAACACGTCTACACCAGCGAAGGGAGGCACCGTTCTCACAGTTCGCACGTGTAAGGCGTCGTTGGCCCACCTGGTAGAGCAGCGATTCTGGTCTGAAATGCATTCCTTTCACCGGGGAGCCCTCCCCGCCCAGCTCCGGGTGGTCTAAATAACAGCGAATGCCTGTCTGTTGTGATCAGCTGTGTGTCTGTGGCGTTCAAGCCAAAGGAGGCTTGGTCTGCCGCGTTTTACAGTTTTAAAGCTGTCCTGGTGTTTTTCTCTCCCTGCTTTCACCGTTGGCTCGATCTTTCCCCCAAAGTAGCTTAGGGCCTCCAACCAGGTCCCGTTTCTTTATGGTTCCGGGCCAGGCGTCTGCCCCTCTCTGTGCTGAGGATTCCTTTGGAAGGGCCCTGCACCCACTTTCCCTGAAGAGGAGGCAGGGTCCTCATGAGGCCGGTAACAAAATGGAAAGGCCCCAGAGAGTTCTTCCTTCAAATTTGTGTTTTTTGCTCACTGGAAACACTCGCGCGCACACACACACACACACACACACACACAAACACACTCTGTCTCCCAGAGTTTGTATTATCCCAAGTCTTTCAGGCTTTTAAAGGGATTTTTTTTTAGGTCCCACTTACTGTGAAATCGTCTAACTGCATCGTCCAGTTAAAATGCGTTCAAACTTGGTCTTTTACCTTTACATGATATGTCTTGGTTCTTATTTTTTTCCCTGTACCCCTGCCCCCACTTCACCCTTCCCTATTCCCAAAGACTTTGTTTCCATTTGTTCCCTTTTTTCACAAGATCCCAATGATAAATGTACCAATACACTCAACGGGGTTTAAAAAAAAAAAAAAAGAAGGAAAGAAAAGTGATCCAAGAGAATAAGGGCGAGGGGGCGGAGGGGAAGGGGAAATAAGCAGAACAGAGATGTGCCATGTACAGGAACCGAATGATCTCAGATAATGTAACTGTGCCATAGTGTGAGCTGAGACTAATGAGCCGAAGAATGAAGCTAAGAATGAAAACCGAGGTAGAGGACCTGAGGGGGAGGGGGGAAGGAGGGGGATTTTAAAAAGAGAGAAGCTATGTTAGGTACATATAGCCATTCTTAGGACGACTGTAAAATGCATGCACTGCTAAATTGTACTAGTAAAACCTTTTAAAAGTAAAACAGCAACAACAGCTTGGTATTTTACAGGGGCTTTACCAGTTCTTCTTGTGGGTTTTGTAAAACAGACTGATAATTATACCGCACTCTGGAGACTCCTGTAGCCTGATCACTGGCAGGTGAAGTAGCAGGCAGAATGGAGCTCAGCACTCTTGATGGGGCCGGATCTGGCCTGCCGGATCTGGCCTGCAGGCCTGGGCTGTAACCATCGCCCTCCTGGGAAACACACACAATACCTTTTTAATGTATTTTGTTTGTTTGCTTTTGTTTTGTCTTTTTGGAACGGGATCAAAATTCCGACCTTGTGCTTGCCAGGCAGGCAGTGGAACCACTGAGCTAAATCCCTGGCCCGAATAATGTATTTGTGGGAAGAGCTCACCTTTGAGGGTGTGGCAGTTCCAACCTGCAATTGACGTACTACTTTGTGTATGGAGGGGATAAGCGACTTGTCTCTAGTTTGATTTTCTTTTAAATTAGAAGTCTAAAACATTAACTTTTTTGTAAAGAAAACATGGATCCAGTATATAGTTTGTTTTTATTTGCCTCAGAAATTGGCCTCTGGAGAAGTTTCCATTTTGAATACCTATTGTTAGCTTTATGAAAAACACACCTGATTTTCTTCTGTTGGTGGTGGCTGTAACATGGAGAGTTACTCCTGTTACCTTTGCGAAGGTGGTTAAGTGCAAGCTTATGCGGTAAACTCAACCTCTCCTCAGGACCTAGAATCAAATCATCAGTCCAGAAAAGGCTGAAGAGGACCACAAGAGGCTGGAGCAGCAGAAAGGTCCCCTCCAGCCCCTGTAGACCTACGGAGTTCAAGTCCTTGTCTTTCTTCTGCCCGTCTCCAGTATGTTGGCCTATTTTGCTGCGCCAAGTGTAGGAATTATGTCCTCCTACACCACAGGGTAATTATTTAGGCACCTCTGGATTCCAAAGATAAAGATCGCCTTGATAAAGGTTTGCTGAAGACAGTGTGTACCTGAGGTCTTTCTATCGAAAATGCAACAAGCATTTCACACACTCCCACATGCTTACACACAGCATCTTTGTAACCAACACAGGGGCACTCTGGGTGGATGTGACCAGGGTGACATCTCAGGGTAGAGCTTGAGTATGTGCAACCATTTAAAAGAAAAAACCTCTTGGTGTGTACTAGGAAGTGTTTTGATTTACCATTGCTACTGTTAAGAAGGTAGACCTTCACTTACAAAGTGAATTTCTCTTTTACTGGGTGATATTTGTAACATTAATGTCTTCATTTTGGTAGGAAGGATAAGTTATTCCTGGCAAGTAGTGATACTTCCTTGGAATCACATGTGTGAAAAATAGACTACTACGTATATTTTTTTGCCACTATTGTTTTTCAAGAAACTCAGATGACCAAATCACCTCATTTTCACTTGTAAAATGACCCAATTTAAGCTCTGAATATTTTGTTTTACATGGTGGTAATAGCTAAATTAACACCTTGCTTAATAGATACCTGTTAGCTTTTAATTTATAGTCTAGAAGGAAATGAAAACCTAGACCTATGAGTGAAAATGATTATGAAATGTAAATAAATGCGGAATTAAATTTGAATCTCTGTCCACGCTGTTATCTTCCTGCCAGCACCTTCCTTCCGGTGTTAAGGAAGGTATGTAAGTATCAGGCAAGCTTCAGCTTGTTAGAGTGGAGCCAAACAGGTACCGGAAGAGGAGTGAAAGTAGAAAGTCAGTGCCTTGAATCTGAACTCAGAAGTTTACAGCTGATATATTTTTTTAACTAAAGACACCCTTTGGACACGACAGAATATATCTAGTATTTTATTTTTACATGAAATCACTCTTGGACAAGTTAAAGGATCAGAGTATAATCAGAAATATTTTTAGGTCATTGAATCCTATGGTTCTTAAAAGTACAGGAAATAAATATCTATGCAAAGTCCATATGTAGACTAAATTCAAGTTCAGAGGGCTTTGTTTTGAGATCATACTCTTTCTGCTTTTTCGTGGCGCGTGTTGAGGTAAGATGAGAAACCAGTCTGATTTTATGAGATTGGGCTTCAGTAGAGGACTCCATGTGTCTGCAAATGTGTGTGTGTGTGTGTGTGTGTGTGTGTGCACATCCTTGCTCAGCAGATTAAAAAGTTAGCCCCTTTGCTGATGCAGTGACCCAAAGTGTGTATTGGTTTATGAAATCTAGAAGCCCCATAGCCAGTGACATTTGCTGCCCTGAGCAGTAGCCACCAGAGAACTTTGGTCCCTTTTTAGTGACCTATCTTTTCCCTGTAAAATCAGACTCCTAGATTGTTAGAATTAGGAGTCCAAGTGCTCTGAATGTCACCTTTGGCCAGTGCTGCTCTCTCGTCCTTACTGCAGCTGATGACTGAGCGGCTTCCCTTGGTTTGGCCACGGAATTCTGTTCCTGGCCCTGCTGTCATTCACGGGAAGCCCTCCCTGGAACCCCTGCTTTCCATCCTCCTCCCTCTGACTGCTTTCAGGTATTGGAGGGTGGATCCCAAAATGTTGCTGGTGGGCTGGGTCCCTTCCCATCTCTTCCCATAGAAGAGAGTTTCTCCACTCGCTGATTAGATGAAAGAAGACAGTATGGGGTTAGCACTGGAGAAAGTACGGAGCCCTGGGCGGGGGTGGGGGTGGGGGGTCCTCACGCCGCTGGTGTGGTGCCTGCTGGTTCTGCTGCCTTCCTGGGCCTCTGTAGCACCTCGGCTTCTCCCCATGCAGAGTCTGGCAGGTGAACTCAGCTGTCCTTTGGGATTTTGCTACTCCAAGTATCAGAGATCAGCAGTACCCGTGGAATCTGGGTGGAATCTGGGGTTTGTAGCAGAGACCCGCCCAGGCTTGTATTTACTTGTAGGATCTTCTTACTTCTTAGACGATGTTTTATCCCGATTTCAATTCCATCTGTGTGTGTGTGATACGAAGAAACAATGTGAAGAACTCTGACAAAACTCAGACCACCTGGGTGAGACATTGGGGTTGTTAATAGACAAGCCCCTTGTTCTGCAGAGGGACCAGCCCCAGCTGGGTGGCATATTGGTGACTTCAAGGCACTGAGCACAGTTTGTTTGGTGCTCACGTGTAAAACTCCCGAAGAAGCCAGAAAATCCCGGAAAATAAGGCAAATTTTAGGGGGAAAATCAGTGATGATGTGCACAGAGTTACCAGCAAATTGGGAATATTAGCAGTGATTTCCTTGTCCAATTTGTTTATTTTTTGCAAGCTTTAGTTTGTCGTGTCTAGCTCAACCCTCGGTATTTATATAATCTTTCTTCTTATTAGTTGTCCTATTGAGTTTGATGATCAGCTGTCATTCATCTAATGGATCTTTGATGAATCTTATTTAAAAGTGTTTGTAATGCTGCTGATTTCTTTGGATAATTCAAACCGCTTCAAATCGTTCTTACAAACTTGGGGCATATGTACAACACCAAATTGATCTTCCTTACGAAAACAAAAATTCTTACACAGAAACACAACATCTATTTTTACCTGGACCACCATGAGCTTTTGGGTCTCCATTCAGACAAATACAGTTCACAGTGAGAAGCTCACACACACACACACACTCATACACACTCACTCACTAAGGAGAGGTGATCAGAGTCAGGTTTGGTGTATACAGTAGTAATGAAGGGCAGACTTGTGTTAGGGATACGGATGGAGCCTACTTTTGAAGAACTGTGGGTCATATGTTAAATGCTGAAAAAAGTAGCTTTGGGACAAGTTCATAAAATTGATTTTTTCCATTGGAGTTAGTAACATGGTATATTTTATGTCATGTGTGGTATAATAGTTCCCAAAGGGCGGGGTAAGTTTATAGATATTAGGTTCATTTTGGGCAACTGAGTGAGACCACAGGTAGGTAGGGTAAAGCCTCTTAACCCCTCAGTGTGGGTCCTGAGAGTCACTGGGCCCAGAGGCTGTGTGGCTGACAGGATCCCCGGCCATGAGCACCTTGCTTGGCTCCATCTCCCTTTAAAACGAAGGAGCCGTGGACCTGAGCAAGCAGGCTGTCGCCTGCCTTGGACGGGCCTGTCATTTGTCACTTACAATCTGTAAAGCCCTGCCAAGATTTTGGTCTAAATGATACTTAAATGACTCAGCCTGGGTGTCTCCCTGCTGTCAGGAGCAGGTTTTACACGTTCCACAACAAAGGCAGCTTTTCTCGAGACCAAAAAAAAAAAAGTGTTGCTTAATTTTCCATTTTGATTTCCTTAAGACTCAGCACTTTAAATAAGTGAGACAATGACTGGGCTGATTTAACAGCAAAAGTGTAAAGTGCTCCATTATGCGTTCACTGGTTGACATAAGGTTAAGTGATTAGTTATTGTTTATTTAATTCCCTCCCAGTACCTGAGACTGACCATAAATTATATTTAAACTAAGATGTTAGAGCAGTGGTAACAATCTGTTAGTTTGCCGCAGATAAATGGGTAAACTCATTAATAGTATTCTTTATAGGATACATGTGTAGATAATGGATACAGATAACATGGAGCTAGACTCTGATTGTAAAAGTGTGATTATAGAAATATGTTTCTTGTTAGGGAGTTTTTGCTGTTTTACTGAAAATTCCTATTTTCTTGCATCTCTCCATTGTTAGTGTTCCCATGTTGCTTTTTATTGCACAGCTTCAAACTCGTGGGGAAAAAAGGGAAAAATAAGCTTTTACGTATAGGAATTTAATCAGTGGACTTAAATTTAACGGCTGGCAGCAGCCATACACACGAAAGCCAGTAGATAGTAAGGAACTGGAGGCCCTGTGCCCCTCTCCGGCAGTGCTGGATCTATTTATAAAGAGCTTCGTCATTTATCTCACTGTTCTCAAACTTCACTATGAATGTAAGAAACACAGTGCTACTAAAATGCAGAGTCCTGGACCCCATCTCTCAAGCTCTGGGTCAGTGTGTCGGGAGGAAGGCCCAGGAATCTGCATTCTTTATAAAGCAGCTCTGCTCCATGTGGTCCCTTCTCTGTTAAAAGTTCCCTTATGTGAAGGACAAGGCAAAAGTAAGTAAAGAGACTTGTTCAATTTCACATCTTGGCTTTGATTGGTTTCTATTTTAACATAAAACATTCCTATGTGAAACCTGTCCCTAAAATCTCTCATTGTTGTGTCAGGAAGAACACAGAGACTGGGAGTGAAGTGATAAAAACTAGAACAAAAGACAAGGTCTGATCAGGCACCATCTCACCCCTCCTGCCCGAAGGAGGGCTTGGAGGGGAAGCACAGTGTTTCTGAGACATGTAAAAACATTCCTCCTCCTGAATCATCGGTTACACACCATTCAGGCATCTGGAGAAAGCCCTAGAGGGAGCATGGAGCTGGGGACAGGGAAACCTGGCCTAAGTGTGTTGAAATGGGTGAAGGAAGGGATGACTGAGGAACAGTCTTTATATGGCAGTGCAGAAGCTTGGGAATGTGGAATATAAAGAAAATAAGGTATTGGAGGAAAGTTATAGGAGTAGAGGAAACTTTTTTCCATACTGAGGCTGAACCCTGGCTGAGCTACATCCCTAGCCTTTTCATTTTTTATTTTGTGACATTGTCTTGCTAAATTGCACAGGGATGACCAGAATGTGCAGCCCTCCTGCCTCAGCCTCCCAGAGTGCCCGGATTACACCTGTGCACCACCATGCCTAGCTGAGAGGAGGAACATTGGAACAGCGAGGACTTGGAAATTAACAGGCGATGGTTTTCACACACGGTGCTCATCTTCACAGTACCCTCGATAGAAGGCATTTCTAGCCAGAGCCAACAGATGAGGAAACTGGTGCGTGCAGGGGCTCCAAACCCTGGCTCTTCCTGTGAGCCTTTGTTCTACTTTGACCACTCAGATGACAGAGGAAGGGCTGTGTTAGAAGTGAACTGAAGCGGGGGGGCACATGCAGGTCCTTTCCAAATGCAGTAACGAGTAAGAGGCTAAGAGCGCGTGTTCTTTGGAGAACAAATGAAGAGATAGGAACAACGTGTGATATCTACAAAGCAGAATATTACTAAGCCATCAGAAGAATCAAACACCAATTCAGTAAAACGGGTCATCCTTAAAAACAAACAAACAAACAACAAACACTCTGCTCAGTGAAAAGAGCCAATCCCAAGAGGCTGTGCAGAATTCGGTTCCATTCCTGGGAAATGTCCAGAATAGGCAAAGGTAGAGACAAAAAGGAGGTGAAGCCTGGTGGGGGCAACTGTTTGGGGCACAGGAGTTTTCATTTTGTTTATTATGGTTTTTGAGGGCCGGAATGATGAACATAGAATAGTGAATGGTGGTGGTTGCCCGGCTCCGTGTCTGTAGTGAACTGAACACTTTCCAGGGTGCGCTCACAGTGTACACGTTGTATCTGAAGAGAATAGTTGCGTTTGGACTGGGACGGGCCAGAAATTAAACCATAAACATTCCTCCCCAAGTGTGAGTATCTCCTCATTTCTGAACTAGCGCAGGGACTGGGCCGAGGCGTGGGAAGAAGTGAGGACTCGGTGTGTGAACGCAGGTCCCACATTGGCCGTCACGTGGGACTTGGACTCGGGCTGAGCGGCGGAGTGGAAAGATGCCCCCGCAGGGGCGCTTGGAACTCAGTTTCTGTCTCATCCTAGTTGTTTTAGAGCCAAGATCAATAAGCGCTCTCGTGCAGGAAATTCTGAAATTAAAATTTAGGCAGAAATTTGGAAAGGTTTTTACTACCAAATCCATTGTAGGATCAGTTTCTTCTCTACAGTTAAATTATTTTATTTAGCATCTCTGCCTAGTCATAAACAGCTACTCCCAATGGTTATTTTTGCACAAAAATTAAATAGTAATACCAAACAAAGATCCTTAAAGGTATCTGAGATATTTACTAAAGTGTTTGGGATGTTAGTTATTCAGCACCAAGAGTGTTTATTATGGTCCTGTTGTGTTAAAAACTTCATGAATTTTTTACATAAATAAACCTATTTATATGGGAAGTTAATTATTTTTTGCATGAGAAGCAGTTTAATGAAGCTGAACTTTCATTTGAGAGATGTAAACATTTGCCCAAAAACCAAAATGGGAAAATTATCACTGTCTCTTGTTACCTACACGAGTCGCCTGGTTTCCCGTGAATTGTAGAGATACTTAAGTACTAATTATCAAAACGAAAATTGTTGCTCCACCGGAACTCAACTATTGGGAAAGCAAACTCGGGGAGGCTGAGGCAGGAGGCTCACAAGTTGGCGCCCAGCCAGGGCCGCTGAATGACTTAAGACCTTGTCTCAGATGTTTTTAGAAAGGAGGGTTGTGTGCAAGGGAAGGAGACCCGTGTAGGGCCGGCCTTCTCCGCCCGGATGCCCGTTGTATTAACTTCTTTGCCCTGCTCTTTCGCAGCCTGGGGAAGAGCAGCTGTCGCCATGCTTTTCTGCGGCTTCATCATCCTGATCATCTGCTTCATCCTCTCCTTCTTTGCCCTCTGCGGACCCCAGATGCTCGTCTTCCTGAGAGTGATCGGAGGCCTCCTGGCCTTGGCGGGTGAGTCCTGGGGCCACGGTTCCCGCTTCACACCTCCACCAGGCACCCTGTCCTGCGCCGCAGGAAGAGGGAAACAGGTCACTGGGGCAGAGGGGACAGCAGAGCTGTGCTTCAGGATCTGGAGTCCTGTCCTGTGGCCTAGATGGTATTCTGTGCTCCCCACTCACGTGCAGGGGCTCCACGTACCCCAGGGGTCCCGTCCACTGACCCTACCCAAGGAACCAGGGCTGCCTTAGCCGGAGAAGTTCAGTGGTCTCTGGTGCCAAGGGGACCTGAATGTCACAGAACTGTTTCTCTTGTTGCAAGAGTTCTGTGGTCTTGGTGCGCTGTGTCGAGAAAGGATTTTCATAGTGCAGAGCTAATGGCAGGCAGGCGACAGTGACTCATACCCAGGCGATGGCATGAAAGCTGGTTGTGCAAGCGGGCAGGATGCAGAGCGAACCTTTACTAGTGCAAAATGAGACCTGGGAATTGAGAACAGGGACTAATTGAAATTTTAGGCAGCACCTGTCTAAGGGACAAATCTCAGCTCTAGAGCCGGATTCAGATGCAAAACCAGATTCTCTGAGGAGAGGAAAAGAGACAAAGGTACTAATCAGGCAACGCCACAGCACCATTCCTTTTATTATTATTTTTGTGTGTGTGTGTGGTGGCACCGGGGATTGAACTCAGGACCTTGCACTTGTGAGGCAGGCACAGCACCACTGAGCTAAATCCCCAGCCCCCACCATTCATTTTTCAAGACAGCAACCAGCATTCCTGGGAGGAAAACAGAAAAGCAGCTGGAGGTATGGTATAGGGGACTAATACAAAGCAAGCAGAAAGGGAGCTGAGAGCCATGGGTGCAGCTCAGAGGCCCTGTGACTGCAAAGGGTCAGCAAGAGCAGCGCTGAGCCAGAAGGAGGCCACTGACACTGGGGCCCCTGTGCTTATTACAAAGTTAAGTTCCCAGAGCAAGGGGCCACGGGATGAGGGGCAGAGGTGTGGCTCGCAGGGAGGAGAGGCCTGAGAGCACCGGCCAGGCAGGCGTGGCGCATTCTTTGTGCTGAAAGCTCCTCTTGATTCTAAACAAAATTTACTCCATGCTTCTCGTGTTTCTAAGTTCGCTTTTTTGAGTAACATTTTAAAATTGGAAAGGGCTCAGAATCACACGCATTGAATCCTGCCTCCATTTCTATTTGGCTTTTCCTAGTTCTAATGTAGGAGATTTTATCGTGGAAACAATTTGATGTAGCATCCCTTGCTCTGTCTTAGAAGGAGATCTTAGAAGGAGAGTCAGGTGCCTGCTTAAATTGCCAGTAAGAGTAACAGGCCTGGACTTTGCCTTAGTTGAATCCTAGTGAGTTTTGTATAGCCGAGCAAGGCCACTGCTAGGCATGGATCCAAAAGAATTAAAAGCAGGAACTTGAACATGGATTTGTAACCTATATGTACAGCGGTTTTATTCACAGTAGCCAAAAGTTAGAAGCAGCCAAAGAATCTGCCAACAAATGAATGGCCACACGGAGTATGATATATGCATGTAGTTGAATGTTATCTAGGCACAGAGAGGAATGCAGTTTCAGTATTTCCTGCAATGCGATAGACCTTGAAAACCTTAAGCCAAGTGAAGTAACCCAGATGCAAAGGATGAACGGAGTATGATTCCTTTTATATGTAGTAGTGAGAAAAGGCAGATTCACAGAGACAAACACGGGCAGGCACTGGGAATTGGGGAGTGGAGTTACTGTTGTCAGTGGATATAGAGTTTGTATGTGGACCCTGAAAAGGCTTTGGCTACCGGTTGTAGCAGTGGTTAGACTGCATTGTGAGTTGTACACTCATAAGTGATTAAAGTGTTAACTATTATGCTATCTATATATTTTGCCACAATAAAATAAAAACCCTAGTATATGTTTTTATCCATTATTCCTTTTTAGTGGTAAAACAGTAAGATCCACTGCTGGCTGTCCAAGCTGACCATGATTGTATAGAGAACTAGTTCTGTTGTCCTGCAACAGATTTATTCCTGAAAAGTCTTGCTTAATCCTTTGTTCCTGTCTTGTAATTTAATATTCATTCTCTCATTGACAAGTAGACTAAGAAGTGAATAGAGAAGAATGAAGTCTAGAAATCTCAATACTCTTTAAGTGGTAATAATGTTGAGTAAAAGCCTACTTGGTTTTTAAGTATATTTCATGGCAACAGTTACTGTAAAGTGGGTTAAAATCAGAAAAAGTGAAGACTGATACAATTTAAATTTTGCAGAAATTCATCCAAACCATTATAAAAATGTCATGTACAGTGAGAACCAAAATGGATAAAGCATATTTTACATTTATTGACAGGAAAACTAGAGGCCAATGTAAGGAAGTGTTACTGGAGGATCTTATGCAACTTTTCCTATAGAGGCTTAGGAAAATTTGCATGTAAAGACATACTAATTTTATTAATTTTTAATTTAAAAATTAATTAATTGATTTTTATTGATTTTATGAGTATAATATTAATTTAATGAGTATAATATGATGCACTTCATTGTTGGAAATTTGTACCTTTATATAATCAATCTTGGTTCTTATTTTTTCCCCATCCCCTGCCCTCCCTTTAACGCCTGCCTCCCAACCTACAAAGACTTTGTTGCCGGTATTTTTCATTTTCTCATATTAATTCTGTTACACAATATTTTGCAATGAAAGACAAACTGAACTAGTACATTTGCTGTTTAAAATATCAATTAAGTTGAGAAATGTTTTAAGATCTTCATCAAGATTGTCCTTTATAACTGCCGCAGACAAGGAACATTTCAATTGAGTTGAGAAATAGAAGCAGCTAAATGACATGCTTGCCTATTTAGCAGTTGAAAACAAGGAAGAAGAAGAACCACTTTGGTCATCTGTGGAGCTAGTAGAAAAAACAATATGACGGTAGAAAAAGTGGTGGGGTGGTAGCACACACCTACAGTCCCAGCGTCGGGAGGCTGAGGCAGGAGGATCAGTGCAAGTTTGAGGCCAGCCTGGGCTACATAGCAAATTCAAGACCAGCTTGAGCTACAGTGAGACTCTGTCTTAAAAAAACATGGTGACAAAATGACAGAGTGCATATGAGATTTTAAGCCAAAAGGTGTAGAATCCAATTTCACATGGAAAAACTCATTATAGCTTGATATTATCATGCATGTCAATGAAAAGACTATCAAAGTATGTTTTGTAACATTTTATTTATTTTAAAGTTGCTTACAGTGTCAATATGGTGATTAGTCATCACTGTAAGAATATGACTCTCGCACCAGTTTGGAAATCTTTTTTTTTTTTTTTTTTTTGTATCAGGGATCGAACTCAGGACCTTGTGCTTGCGAGGCAGGAGGCAGAACCACCTAGCTAACTCCCTGGCCCTGGAAATCTTCTTGACAAGTGCTTTCCTTTCCATACCCTTGCTTATACTTTCCCAAAGCCGCTCCCTTCTTTTACTTCCCTCCGCAGCCCCTGGATCACCCTCCTGTTCAGTCTCCAGAGTCCCACCTTCTCTGGGGCTTTTCTGGTGGCTTCCCACCCTGACCATTCCCGCAGGGACGCCATTCGCTTGCTCCGTGGTGGGCTAGTGGTATCAGTGAGACCAGTGTGCGCATGTGAATGTTTACATGCGATTTTACTAACACTGGCTATAGTAACTTTATATACGTTTTAAAGGAAGTGCACAGGTCAAAAGTCAGACTCTAACACCTTCCTTTTATTGTACAGTTTTGTACTTTATCCAAAATGATTTGCTTACACATGTACGATAAAGAGATTCTCTGTGTCCTATCTGTAGTGAGTATATACGATTGATTTTATCGATGCCCGGAATCTAACATACAATAGTTAATAATCTGTATTAGTTCATGATTAACGAGACTCTTCTAGCCCCTTTATCATTTTTTAGGTGAGATAACACATTCACTCATTCATTTATTCATTTTGAAACAGTCTCTCACTATGTAGTTCAGTCTGGGTTTGAACTCATGACGATTGCTCCTTCCTCAGCCACCCCAGTGCTGTGATTACAGGCAAAAAAAAAAAAAACATTTGGAGAAGAGAGGTTACCCTGTGGTTAGTGTGCTTCCTTCATTCATGTGCGCATGTTTTCAGACTCTGAGATGTTTTTTCTTCCCTGTAGCTGTGTTCCAGATCATCTCCCTGGTCATTTACCCCGTGAAGTACACCCAGACCTTCAACCTTCACAGCAGCCCTGCGGTCCTTTACATCTATAACTGGGCCTATGGTTTCGGGTGGGCGGCCACGATTATCATGATCGGCTGTGCCTTCTTCTTCTGCTGTCTGCCCAACTACGAAGACGATCTGCTGGGCAATGCCAAGCCCCGGTACTTCTACAACTCTGCCTAAGGCGGGAGGAGAGAGGCGCGCTGAGATGGAGCCGGAGCAGGGGAACCTTCTCGGGCCACCCGGCATCTATTTCGGTAGCGTTTGTGAGCTCCAGGCCGCTTGGCACCTCTTCTGGCAGTGTTCATGGAGTTAACATAGTTGGAAATGCTAAAATAGTTTGGGAGAAAATATTTTTAAAATTGTGTTATAGTTTCCTATTCCTCTATGTTTTGTGAAATTAACAAAAAGATGTTTCTTTTTGCTAGTCACTTACAATATGCCAATATTTCCTACGTCTGTCTGTAGCCTGTATACTGCATTTATAAAAGGAAATGAGCTTGAATAGTAGAAATGTGAAGGCTTCCAGGGTGTATTAATGTGATCCAGTAAGAATTCTCCCCAGACAGAATGGACTGTTTCTATTAAGAGCTAAGAAGAAGAGGGAGATATTGGTAAAAATTGTCAGTAGCTAAACATTCTAAAATAAATATAAAACAAAAACTGTATTCTCAAGTTTTCAGCTGTTCAAAGAAGCAAAACAGTTTCCTATTTTTGAGAATTTATAATTAATATTGTAATAATTGCTGCTTTGGTAAACTCCATATTGACTGGATATTCCATGGAGGGAAGTATTTCTCCATGCCCAGAACAGATTGCAGTAGTCTTTAAAAGTCCTTACAGGGTCAGGGTGTGGGGAAACACTGTATCCATAAATCTGTGCTGCTTTGTGTCTATATGGCCAGGATTCGGTAGACTGGACTGAAAGATGGGAAAGATGAAGCCATGTTGTAAGGCAGTTATTGCTGCCCCTAAAGTGCCAGTCAGACAGGTCAAGGGACAGAAGTGGCTCTAACCATACAGACACAGCTCTAATCTTATTTGTCAGAAACCTAAATATAGTTAAAAACCTGGTCTTCCTTGGTAAACAGACTTAAAATGGCTAATGTAAAAAGTACAACAAATCAGGGATATGAGTGTCTCTGAATATATATTGGGTGGATTGTTATTTTTTTACCATTTATACTGACATAATGAAAACTCATTTTATACATCAAATTACTGTAAGTTTTGCCATAAGTAATTAAAGTTTTCATTATTTTGTTTCTCAATAAACCAGGTGTCAAAATCTTGTGTCTAGTTTGTAAGTTTTGTTGTTTTTGTTGTTGTTTGCTGTGTTCTAGGGATGGGAATTTTTAAAGAATTCTTTGAGTAAGAACATTAGGCAAGGGAAAAGTTGCTTTTCCTTGGTTTTAAGGGTCTTGCTCACGTTGAGTCAATAGCCATTTTGGGGTGAATACAAATGAATTCTAATAGTCTAATCTGAGCTTTTCCTCGGTGAACTGTGCCCCACTCACAGATGTCCAACTGCCTCTCTCTAGGACTGCCAGCTGAGGGAAGAGGTGTCAGGCATTTCTGGAAGGCCCGACACCCAGGGCGCATTTGCACAGCTTGGCTGAAGATCTGTCCTCCTCTACTTCCCTCCTCCCTGTGTTAGGCCCTCTTCCATTAGGGAACGGTCGCAGCGTTCTCTCAACTTCTGTTCCCTGCCCGTCTTCCTGTTCAGTTGTTTCCCACCCTTGGCCACGCGTGGATTCCCCCTGTATGTAGCTGTGCAGCAGGGCTACAGGGCCAGGTCCAGAGCAGAGTCCCTCTAGTGCTTCTTCTACTCAATCAGTCCTTAGCAGTTGCGTTCTTCTTGTGACTTTCAAAATATGAGATAAATGTTTCTCGTGATAAATGGAAAGGAAGGCAGCCTGGGTGATTACCCAAAAATTTTCTTAAAAAAGCAAACAAACAGCACTTCTGTGACTAGAGAATTTGAAGTGGTGATTTAACAATGTCAAAACCACTGTCTGTCCGAATAGCATCGGACATTGTTCAAGAAGATAATGGATTCTAGAGTTAAGAAACTTGGCTTCTTGTTATACCTGAAAATGACTCAGATTGCAAGATCTCCAAAGCACACACTTCTATTCTGGAAGTTTTTTCTGTTGTAGCTTTCTCCTATTCAGTCACTAAACACCCTGTATCAAAATGATGTACACTTGGGAAAAATACGAGTTCCTGGGACCAGGGACATGAAATATTTGTGACAAAGATAACATCGTATCATTATTCTGCTGAAATGTTCCATTTCTTCCTGCCACCCTGTTCAATTGTAGAGACCCTTCACTTGTTACTGGTTCAGAGTCACCAACATAGATACTTTTATGTCGTGCACAGAAAGAAAATTCTGGAAAGTAATGAATTCAGCAGAAAAACCATCTACTGACTGAGTGTATTACATGAGATTTCCCATGGTACAGCTGAGGTGATTTTTGGTTGTCTAATTACATTGAGTCCCCACACTTCAAATAAGCAGCTCTAGGTTTCCAATTACCTCACGCTCACACTGTTAGGAGTGAGATGTGCTAAAGGCCACTTATTGTTAAATGAAACAAAGAAGCAATATGTATGTCACACAGGTATATACTGTGGAATATACTTACTTTTTGCTTTGAAGCTTGGCATGGTGGCACATAACTGTAATTCCAACACTCTGGGAGGTTGAGGCAACAGGATCACAAGTTCAAGCCATCTGCGTAATTTAGCAGACTTAGCAAAAAGCCTTGTCTCAAAAAATAGAAAATGGGTTGTAGATAGAATAGTAAAAACTTGATAGGTTTCCTTTTGAAGGAAATGAAAGCAACAGGAAGATACAGCCATTAGGAGTGAATGAGGCTGGTTTGCTACACACCCCACTGAGACACTCACTGTGCAACAGACCGAGCCAAAATGGCCTGTCCTCTGGGCTCCCCAGGGACGAGTGTGTCCCACCCTTCGGCTTCCACCTGCTGTTCATATTGGCCAGGCTGTTCCCTGCTGGGCTCAGCACCCTCGCCTGCAAGGTGATCGCAAAGATCCCTTTTCCTTCAGACTTCTCTGGTGCAGAGCATGGTTACTCATTTGTTAATTTACACGAATACTTTTGAGAAAGGGTAAAATGGAAGCTTTTTTTTTTTTTTTTTTACTAAATTGCTTTTCATAACTGCAGACAGCGATTACAATCATCTTAATTTTGCAGTGCAATTTTATCTTTAATAAAAATCAAAGACTATCCCTAAAAGTGGAAGAACCACTGAATAACTAAATTCTCAAGAGCATAAATAACCCAAAAGCTATGGGGAAAAGCCTGTCTGCATTTTAGAGAACTCCTTGTTCAAGATGGAGGGGGAGCCCTATTAAACACCTCTCTTCTAACCAGTATAGGAAAAAAAAAATACCCTAGAATAGTCAACAAGGAGCAGAAGGAATAAATCTATGACAAGAGGGATTTACTAGCTGACTAGAGATTTTTGTCAAATTCCTGGAAGGTGAAAATGAGTAACACTGTCAGCCTAGGGAAGCTGGCACCCTGAACAGTTTGTTGGGAGAGATCAGCTGTGCTTCCCGGTGACTGCCAAAGAGATACCACCCTTGGTGTTTGTGGGAGAGGGGGCAGGAATATGGGAAGAGCGGAGGTAGCACTGAGAGGTCTGCTCCATGCGGCACCTGACGATCAGCCTGGCCTGACTCCCGCCCCAAATGCCAGAAATGATGACAAGCTGACTAACTGGTGTGGTTGTTCAGAGGGCTTCCCATGTACTAACCCGTGTAAACCCCCACCTTGGCCTTCTCATGCGGGTTCGGTTATTCTTACCTTTTCAGGAAGGAAACAGAAGCACGGGGACATGAAATAACTTTCCCAAAGCAGACAGCCTGTAATTAATAATGACAAAAGTCACAGTAGACAGGTGTTGGGGTGGTGTTCTCCCGACAGGGCAAGGCACAATGAGTGTTCTCACCACACCGTGGGAGTGTTCCCAGGACTCCTCCCCTCGTGGCTCCCTCAATGTCTTCCATGTGTTTGTACCCCAAGGATGAATCTACCTTGGGCATATTCTAGAGAAGCATGGAGAAGGTGAAGAGGCAAAAGTGTGAAGGACCAGGCCAGAGTGAGGGTAGGATACCCAGGGGATGAAGGAAGGCAGTGAATTCGAAAAAAGGAAAAATTTTAAAATTCCACTTCCAAGACCTACCTACCCCACTGCACCGTGTGCGAGAATCACAGTTCACACTGTTTCAGAATGGGTCTTCAATACTGGACTGTCTACTTGCGGAGCCCTTCTCTGTGATTGGACTGTGTGTCACCCATTTTCTAAACCATGGCAGGGCTGTGGTTGAAATCAGAGGGTTCAGTCTTGATTTGAAGACCTGATAGAGAGAGTCTCTAAAATAAAATCCCACGACAGCTTCCTGAGGTATTTATCTTTAGCCTTTATGAAATGACTGTTTGGGGTGTTACATACCATCCCAACTGAAGTATAATTCAGTTTTAGCCATCAAAATCATCCATTGTTATGAGTCTTCATTATTGTTTATAGAATATTCTGAAATTTGTGTTGCAGAAAAAAAGTTTGTGAGCACACATAGATCAAACAGAACACATAGATACAAATACACCATAGCCAATCCTTTGGCTTTGGGTTGTTCTAGAAGATTCTTGATGTAAGCTAGAAAACACATGGAAGACGGGCTCCTTTTGCTCTCATGAATGATTGAGTCTAATCTAAGCAGAAGAAAGTAAACGCATAACTTCTATCTTAAATTTTTATACAAATGTTTAATCTGAAGTATAGCCATTCTTGTTTGAGTATAAATATATATTAAATCATTAATTCATTAATCCTCAACCCCCCCTACAAATCTTCAAATAAAATGAAGCCATGTGCATGAAGCTTATCTCAGCTGTGAGAAAGTATTTTCTCCTTAGAAGCAACTGCCTAAACTCAGCTCTTGACACCTTGACTTTGATTTGGGGGGAATACACAAGGAAATTTTTTTTTTTTTTTTTGGTACCGGGGATTGAACTTGGGTCCTTGCGCTTGCAAGGCAGGCCACCGAACCACTGAGCTAAATCCCCGGCCCACAAGGAAATATTTTTAATACTCCTCTAGTACGTAATTCTAAAGAATTTTTTAAACTATATAACATGAATCCAGCCTTCACATCTCATTGGAGTAATTCAAAGTATTTCAATTAATTCAAGGATATTTCATATAAATTTGCAGTAGAGCTGTCATAGGAACCCCTGCCAGCCCCTCAGCAGGTGGCAAGTGCTGTGAAATGCAAATAACCAGGTTCACTTCCAATCTCCTCCTTTGAGCTCTCTTTTCTTTTCCTCATGCTTCCTGCAACAGTTATTTTTGAAGGGGAGTTTTTAAAGTCACGGTATCGAGGGGGAAAAGATAGCTTTTTCTTACTTCTGCAGAGTGGTTTCCAGTTTTAAAACTCCTGTAGAGGCTGAGTTTGTTCCTAGGGTCAGTGTCAGAGCCTTTTGCTTTTGGAGATGATTCTTAGCTTGGCTAGCCTGGCCAGTGTATGCTGCATTGTCCCTGAATTTTGCAATTCTGGTAAGGATCTGGGTGTGTTCTAGGTGTGGCAGAGATGAGTCTGACGCATGGAGGTGTGGGAAGAGAGCCAGAGAGGGGAATTCAAGGAGAGTCATGTCCAGCCATGAAAACGACCGTCCACCTGTACCACCCTGATATGCTGTGCTTTTACCATTAAGAATGTACTCCCTTTAGCTGTAAAAATAAATAGGAAAACTCCCAAGTGTGATAGGTGTTTGTGTAAAGATAGCACTCTCAAGTGAAGAAATGGAATCTTGTTGACTCAAAGGGTATAAGATTGTCTTAGTGATAATTAGTCATCAAACAATCATAATAGGTGGTTGCATAAGGGTTTGCCCAGCC